ATATATATATATATATATATTTTATTGTTATGTTTTCATGTTAACTATTGTTAATTGTAATTGGGTTCGCCCGTTTTATCAAATAAATAATTAAATAACCAAGTATAAACATTTTTTTTCAGTTGCATTGAAAACAATCTCAGCTTCAATTTCTTTAAATTCAAATTTTTTAGAGCAAAATTAGTTAAAGCTTTTATCTAATTATCGATCAGAAAAAAAAAATTGTATTATAAGACATAATCAACATTTAATGAAATGTTAACTTAAATAAAGTAATGATAATTATTTTAGACTAAATAATAATTTTAAATTCATAAAATTAGTAATTATAATTATATGTAAAAATGCGTTTATCAAGTAGAACATAAACTAATTCATATATCTTGAATACTTCTTATCGTTTCAATAACGGTTTACGTTTTGTTGAGTATAAAAATTGAATCTGCAATAAAATCGCCCACTGATTAATATAATATCATAATCAAGGCTCGTGACTTTATGTATTTGCATATTTGCATTGGAAATAGGTAGGAGAAATAAAATTCGATACACGTTAGTTTTCAATAAAAGGATTCAAAATTTTTTTTGTTTATTTTTTTGCATATTTTAAATTATTTTTTCTTCACATGTATACTGTATAGATTTATTCGTTTTTATTGCATATTCAATATTTTTTAAATTTAATTAATACAACATTTTATTTCTGAAAAAAAAGTATATACTACATTAGGTATAATTTTAATTTTTAAATCGTTAAAAAATGATGTTTAGAAATAAAATTAAATGGTACCTGTGAGTATATTGTACATTCTAAATTCATTTTATCTGAATTATTTCATAATTATGTCAAAATAATACCGATAATCAATGACACGACTCCATGGTGTAAGTTAGAATAAAACTTCTTGCTCGGACAACCGTTAAAAATATTCGTATAATGATAGAAAATGTATTGAAAAAAAAATTTTGGTCTTGTTATGCTAAAGAATATGCTCAATAGCAAAAAAATTTAAAGACATATCATTCAACAGTTTGACCCTTTTTTTAATATACGAGTAGGTATAATGTTTATGATCATTTTTTTTTTTAATTTGATGTGTAATAGTACGTTGTTTTAAATTAAAATAAAAACATATTTGAGTGCATATTTTGATATTTTTTTATATATATGTATGCGCATATTTTTATGATTTTAAGGACATAAAGTGATAAGTCCTGATTGTAATGCTACCTTAATCTCATCATGATAATGTTCAGTGACCACAAAAATAAAAATAAAAGAAACGAGACACGTTTCAATCGTATCAAATTTAATTCTGGTTATTATCATTATAAAAAGTGATGGCGATTCGATTCAGGGAACAAGCGCCGTGCGATTGTCGCTTGACACATACATTTTTCATAAGTGTTGCTTATAGTCAGAAAAAAGGCTAGCTAAACTTCAACTTTTATAACATTTCTGTTAGTAAATTTCGTTTGCGCCAAAACGAATAAATTAAATATCTCATCATTAAATTGTCCAAGAAACACTAGCGTTTGTGTGATCGTACGCTATAACTGACAGGTGGTATCGTATTGTGCTCCGTGTTGCGTAGATCCTTTTGTCTTTTACTAGTAGATATTATCTTTCGCTGACTCTTTTTGACGTAAGGACACGGCACGCGAGAAGTAATAATGTGTACGTTCTGCAGGTTTTATCTCACGTCCGCCGCTGTACAATTAGGTAATTTATATCACCATGGAATGTCATCGTATCTCATGTTTTGTACAACGCCCAATAATGACGTTATATAGTAATAAATACGATGTTATCGTTATCAGTGGTGGATTGAACGGTACAAAAATTGGACACTTGTCATTCGGAGACCGGCGGATTTTTTTTCAGTCGGCTTTATTGTGTATATATGAGTATCTGAGGTGAGGAGGGAAGATACGATATGATTATATACGTTATGGTTTGAAATTTAATTAAAAACCAAAAAAATTTAAAAAAAAATATTGTTAACAATGTATGGTTCACACGGAACATTGGTCAAAATTAATTAGATATTTTTAATGAGCCCTTTGTATGGTTACTCGCGAGGGGAAAATTATACTCTATGCACCATCGGTCGTTATAATAATAATAATATTTAATGTATGTCGTCAATCGAATGTGGTTTAATTTGTAACTGTTACTAAACTGTTATAACACTATAATACAGCATTTGAAATGAATAATGTTCACGTTCGGGGTATTCGTGTGTTTCTTGGTTAATACCCTTGCAAAATTCTGATTGTTTATCGCGGTTGATGTGATTAGAGTTCGACACATCTCTTGGAAAATAACGTCATAACTGCACTGAGACCCGGTGTTTCGTTTTAATTGAATAATTTATAATTGCAAATTTGAAAATGGTTTAGGTACCGGAAAGTGTCACGCTCCTGAAACCGTGCAAGAATATGCCAATTATCGTCCTTTGTACCTATGTGAATTTTCGCTTATTGCAAGTACTGCTCGGTCATTAACAAGATCTCACGTTCACGTTTACATTGACGGTTCGGACGATTGATAACAGGGCCGGATTGTACAAATTCGGCCCATCGAGTTTTCCGTACGTTACCGGTCCTTGACGACCCTTAGCCAATTTTTTTTTTTAATCACATATTTCAATAGGTGCCCTTATCTTTTCTAATTAATATTTAGTACAAACAATACGAAAAGCACCATGTTATATGTCTAAAAAGTCTAAAATTGACCAAGTTGCAGCAGTTTAAAATAACAATGGTAAAATGCAAGGGATTTTCAGTATTTTTACTGTAATTCTGAAAATAATTATTCTAGAGTTATTCAGACTTGACATTTTTACTCCTATTAACAATGTGAGATTTACATGTTGTTATAATTTTAACTACTGTTAATTTTCATTTAAATCAGTATAAGAATTACAAATTTTAGTATAAACCATAATTTAGTATGTTATTTATTTTGCTACATTAATCCCATAGGATCTATTGGAATGAATGGAATGTATTAATAATTAATAGACAATGTAATTCTTATTTCAGTTTATTTATTTGTTAAATAATTTAATGTATAAATTGTTCAAATAGTTGTCTCAACCTATTCTAGATTAGCGGCCCCTCATAATTTGTACGGCCAAAAATTGTCGCGGTCCACCGAGTTTTGCTCGATAACTCACCGGGCCAATCCGGCCCTGATTGATAATATCGATTATAATCGATTTAACTGTTTCGGGAAATGTCCATAACAACAACGTATCGTTTTGATTGGTATCGAATCGTTTGGTTACGAAATAATAAATACAATAATAACTGTATTACAGTGTTGTGCGAACATAATAAATTAACGTGTGCGACATTATACTCACAACGTCGTGTTCCGTAATTAATGTATCGGAGTGGGTTGAATGTCATACTTCATGATGACGAGAATGTTTCTAGTCTTCCGGAGAAGCACTAAATGTACATACACTGTATACACATTTATAATGTCATAGATATTGTTAAATTATTATGAAGACACAGTGTTTTTAACGTAATAAATAATTTATTGCTATATTCTTCTGAGCACCAAAAGTTTCCAGTTTTTTTTTTTTTTTTTTTTTTTTCTGGGAGTTCATTAATTGTACGCAGGGGCGGATTGGGAAAACATTTTGGTGCGGGAAAAGTGTAAATAAACCAGCGCGCAGTCGTTGTCAATGATGTTAAGTTACGGCCAAGTTCAAGAAATTTTTAGGTTTCAACCACCAAAATTTGTTTATTTTCATAAAATAACCAATTTACTATGATAGGTATATAATAGGTATCGTATTATACATAAAAAATTGTGGCAAAATGTTTTTATATTTGACTCTCTTTCCTTTGAATTAAGTACAGTCCCAATTATCACCCTTAGATATTTCTAGAAGTTCAGAACTCCAAAATTCTAAAATTCACAACTCTAAAATTGAGGTGTTGAAAATTTTTAAAAATTGGTTATGGCTGGTTTTGAAACTACACGCCTCAATTGTTCTTATTTTATATTTTAAATTCTGAATCAGTTGTTTTTTAATTTATACTATTTAGAACAATTTTTTTTCACAAATAATATAATTCAAGTAAGTATTAAAGTATATATTCAAGCAAGTAGTTAATACAGTTTTAGTTCAGTTTATTTTTTTTTTAAAGTTATGATTGATGAACATCTCATACTTGGTTAGTCTATTACAAAATTATTTAAATTACTTAATAAGACAGCTCTCTTAATAAAAAATTGCTTTTAGTTTTCAAGCGATCGATAACTTCATCGTTGTTTATGTTGAAAAGTGTATCTTTTTCTATGGACATAATCATAAAAGCTTCAAGTTTGCTTTCATTTAAAGTACTACGAAGTCTATTCTTTAAATACTTTAATATAGAAAACGATCTTTCACAAGCAACCTAAAAAGACATGCAAATAATTGTTACTAAATATTAATAACTAAGCCTCGACTAATAACATTTATTATTATTGTTAATATTATATTTTATGGTTCAAATTAATTAAGAAACGAATGTTTTACAAAAATTACCTGTGTGCATGGCAATGTCAGAAGATATTTATATGCAACGATTAACTGACTATAAGCATTGCTGTATAAATTGTATTTTTGAAGTACAAGGTAACAACAAATAGAACAATTTATACATGATTTGCAATGTGATTTATATGTATTTTTGTTTTCAATACCTTCTTCATCTTGAATTTCATCATAGGTATCAACTTCATACGATTCGGGTACAGATTTTTTTAGCTCATTCCAATTACTAGAAAAACTAAGTAATTCATTTTGTAAGCTATCTTTTGTAATTGTTTCATCAAACTGTTTGATTTTGTTGGTTAGCTCTATTAAAGCATTGGATGGCAAATTCTTTTTCTCTATATCATCAAAATTAGCAGGTGACAAACATGCAAAATCAGTATATAAAATTTGATTTTTTGAAAACTTTTTTTCCATGCTTCCAATAGTATTGTCCAAGATCAAATTATGGACACAGTATACCTTATTTCAGGATCTGTAATTGGTTCATCATTATTTTTTTCACCAGACAGTATTTTTCGTTTTCTTGATCTAATTACAGGTAACTCAGTTTCAATTACTATGTCTATGTCTATGTCTTCGGTTTCTACTAATTCTAATTTTTCTGACATGGTATCAATGAATGTTTTTGCCATCAGTTTAACTCCATCCATATCTCTTTGAATATACTTGAGATTTTTAATAGCTGCACTAACCATCTCTTGACATTTTAATAAATCCATACCCTTTGTTTGTAGATATTTAGACAATGGGCCAACAATATTAAAAATTCTTATGTAAATAAATGCTGTTAATATTGTTGAGTATTCTAAAATTGAATTTTTTAAAGTCTTGGCCTTTAATCTAGTTTCCGGTGTGAATTCATTTGAAATCTGTATGCAATTCAAGGCCAATATCACATCAATGTACATACCATCAGATCCAAATAAATGTTTTAACGCCAGTTCTTTTGACCACCACCGTGTGTTACCTATAGATTGTAAACGTTTTTTTATTATTTTCACCTACTGTATTCACCCAAACGTTCATTCTTTTATATGACTTTTTGAAAAAATTAGCAAGATCATTAAGAGTGACAAATAATGCTGCTGCTTTCAGAGGTGATTTGGTAGAATCAATGATCACTAAATTCAAAATATGTGCATAGCACCAAACGTGAACTTGATTTGGTGTTGACTTCTCAAGCCAAGCAGAAAATCCATTAAATTGTCCTTGCATGTTTGCTGCCCCATCAGTTGCATTTCCAACACATTTTGTAATATCAAGACCATTTTCAGCTAAAACACCTTGAAGCATATCGCTAAAACTTTTGCCAGTAGATTGTTGTACAGTTATTACAGCCAATAATTTTTCTTGAATACCTTTGTAGTTCACATATCATACAATTATAGAGCATTGATCTTGTACAGAAATATCTTGTGTGGTGTCCAACTGGACAGAGAACATAACAGCATCTCTAATTTCATCCGATATTGATTTTTTCATAAAATATGATATAGAATCTATAACCATGTTCACAGTACTTTTAGAAATAAATGTCAAAGATGCACCTCTACCTTTGCCTTTTCCTCTTTTATGATTTTCACTAGCATTTTTAGTTATCGAATCAATATGCTCACTAAGAACCACATCATACTTTTTCAAAAGTAATAAAATGTCTAGGAAATTACCATGATCGAGAGTAGAATCATTTAAGCTGTCTGCTCCTTCATTTCTATGACCTCTATAACTTAAGCCTCTTTTGCCAATTAATTTTACCACATCTATAACTCTTTGTATAATGTCTCGGTTTTTGGTTACTTCTATTTTTTTTTTTGTGTAAATGTTCACTAAACAGCCGATAATCAATAGTCTTTTTACTTGAGAAGTTTAAGAAAGCCTCTGAAGATAAATTGTGAGATTTAATAATTTCATGCTCTTGTATTCTTTGATAAATATGGCTCCAAGTATTGAAACCATCAGTAAAAATATTTTGTTCAGAAGAAAAAGCTAAACACACACTACAAAATAGTATTTTAGAACATTCATCGTATGTTAACCAACGACGCTGAATGTTATTTTTGCCTAAAAATGCTTTTGACGATTTTAATGGATTGGTTAGATGTGGCTGATGAGGATGAAAATCAAAAAACTCTCCTAATGTTAATGATTTTGGCTTTTTAAAATAGTTGAAGTCGGTAGAAGTATTAGTTGAAGTTGAACCAAAATCAAGTTCTACAACGGTATTATTAATTTTATTTACAGCCTGTAAATTAATCATTAAAAAAAATGAAGCCTTAAGCATTAAGAATATAAGTAATAAGCATCATATAATTGTATTTACAATCAACCAAAATATATTTCCATCAATTACTCAAAACAAAATATGTTTAATTCAATTGTTAGATGCTTAATTACTTACTTAACTACTTAAATAACTACTTTGTGCAATTTATTAATTGTATACAAATAAATAATTTAATGGCTAGCAATATACCTAATTAGTTCATAGGTATATTAAAAAGCAAACAAATTGTACTAAAGCTTACTAGTTGATAGGAAGATGCTAAAGAAGAACTTGCAGGAGAATCATAAGCAGAACTATCTTCATAGTTTTTTAAAGCGTTATAAGTTGGTTTTTTAGCAAGTATAGTTGTATCAATTGTATCATTACTATCATCAACACCTTCCACATTTTCTAGAATGGTCTAAAATAAATAATAGTTGGTCTTTAATTGAATTCGATTTTGACTTAAAAAATAATAATTTGTTAATTTAATCATAAATCAATTGACAGGTACAACACTACCTGTTATATGTAATTATACAGTATTTTTATTTCATAAAGTTCTATTGTTCTATACATTTTACAAAAAGTTATTATTATTAAATTTACTATCTATCTCTTTACTATACTATCTCTTTATACCTTATTGTTAGCAGTGGCAAAAACATCGATAATCGATTTGCATTTTTTTGCTGATTCATGGAGTTGCTGCTTTTTCTTGTCTCTACTTCTTTCTGCACCACCTTTCCTTTTAGAAGCAGAAATTCCGTCACTCATACTGTTCAACTGTTGTCTGTCACACGTATTATTTTCAAAAAACTCAAACTAATATTAGAACACCTGAACAGTAAAACATGCAAGTGCGTCGTCGGCGAGTTGAGAAACGTGGGAGATAATGGTCGGCCTACGGGTGCGGTGGCGCGGTGCAGTGTCGCGGTGATTACTAACTGAATACTGATAAACTGATTAGCATGAAGTTATAAACGCTATGTCGCTATGCTTTGTTCAATGGCCGATGCGAACATACCTATACTTCGAGCCACGAGAGAATGTGAACGAGATACCATTTAACTATTTAAATTGTAAACATGATATCATAATTTATTAACAATAAAAGAGATAGGTAACTAAAACCATCTCCATTATAAATATTCCTATTTTATTTCCTTTTTTTATTTTAATTTTTTATTGGAGCAGGCCAGACGTCCAGTCCATCGGGAAAACTCCCGAATTCCCGGTGGGCCAATCCGCCCCTGATTGTACGTACCATCTTTAGATTTGGTTCATATCTAACTATATTATATAATTTGATGTGAAATTACTGTAATAAGTTGATAAATTATTCTGTAAACGTCTATTAATTAATAATCTATATAACATTCGTAGGAATGCCACTCATATTTTATACATCGATTAGAATTTAAAAGCAATCAGAAAACTGCATTTTGAAAAAATGAGTAATACAAATCAAATAGATAAGAAATTAATATCAAATAAATTTTATTATAAGATATATTAATATCTGGAGTATTTATTATTTTTTATATTCAGTTCATTCAATGTGCGATATATGACTTTTTTTCGAAAACCGTCGATTTTTTTGACGACAAAAAAAAAAAATTAATTATTCAACGATTAATTACATTCTACTGTACACTCAGATTACGTATTAAATTAATGTGTAAAACACATTAATAAATACGAGATTGTGGTGTCAATCGTGAATGTATAAAATAAAAATTCTTACTATTACGTAAAGAGTTAGAAGTGGAACATACAAAAATAGGTTCAGCGATGAAATATGATAAAAACGATTCGTATTAATTACACCTCTTATCGTGCGGTTAATTTGGCATGGCATTATAATGTTTTCGTGTTGAGAATTACCATCAAAAAAGTTTGATCTGGCACTTGTAGATAATATGTCTAGAACCCATAAATATCGAACACATATACTTATAGAAAACTAAACTACCATTTTAAGTTTATTGTGATATAGAACCACAAGAACGGTCTTTGGCTACGTTTCCTCTTTAGAAGTGTTATCTTTTTTCACTTATAAATCATAATTCGATGTTGCACGTTTCCAGTGCGATCCTACGAAGGACGGTCGTATATGCTTCCCTAGAGGTACTCGGCGTTGATAGCAAAATATCAGTGGGCATCGTTCTCGAATGAACCCTATCATAATGCACTTTCAATAGTAATAATATTATTACGACTATTATTATATATTTGGTATTTATTGTATGTGGTATAAAGAAAAAAAACGTTTGGGTTGCAGTTCGACTTTACGAGCAAGTTATATTATGTATATTATGTATATTGCCTCTGAGTGAGATTTTATATCCAGACAACACTTTTGATTCTCCTTCTTTTACCCCCTATTCTTACCTCCTTGATGCTTTTATATCCTTCTTCTCGTCGTCAAGGATACGATAGTTATGGCCATGGTTCATATATGTAAATTAAAATCACGAAAATAACGTAAATATTTAGTAAATAGCGGAATTGAATTGCAACGATTATCTGTCTATTACGGTCGTTATGGAGGCTTATTTATTTTTTTGCAGTACTAGTTCGACGTCTATAACATTTATGTTAATAATAATTTGTCGTACTGCATTCTTTAAAGGAATTGATATACAGTAAAACTCGCTTCAGACGCTTTTCCACATAAGACACTATTTTCCGTTGATCCCTAGACATATCCTATACTACTCAATGTAAAAACCACCTGTTAAGACGCTCGGTTTTTTTATATCTCATTGGATAAAACGCTTTTTTGCTTAGCAGATTATGATACATTTTATTAGATTTATGGAAATAAAAATAGAAATTTTACTTGTTTACGTGTTCTTATTGTTGTACCATTTTATTTTGGCATTATTCCTATTTTATCATTACCTATTATTATTATCTAGTATCTACTCCTACAATTACTGCTGGTTTGCAATACCTAACAGAAATTTGAAAAGTATTATCTTCTGTAGAAAATTCTGTAGAAATGTTGGGTTATCTAAACAAAATAGAAAAATTTCTTGCTGAAACGCATTATCAGCAAACAAAAAAAAAAATATATCAATTTTTTAATAAACAATGATAAAATATTTAATAATAATACATTTTTTTATTAAATTCAGTAGAAAAAAATATATGTACACATGTATATAATTACATATACATACATAATTTGTTAGTGTATTGCCCGTTAAATTATGTTCAATAATGAAAAAAATTAACTCCATAGTATAGAGTTATATGATTGAAATATTATTTTAATTACTTCATTTTTTTCATTCCCGTTTAAGACGCTCTAGAGAGCTGATCCCTTAAAGAGTGTCTTAAGCGAGTTTTACTGTATCTACCTCCGATAAAATAAAATTTTTGCAGAGCGTTTTTAAATTCATTTTTTCCGTTGAAATATCATCGAACATAAATTTCAATAGGTTCTAGGCAGGTAATATAATTTAATATTACACAACAGCACTAACGATATGGTCGGATTTTTGAGATATTGACTTCATAATTGTTGACAGGATGGGTAGGGATAGTTGGATAAACGCGTTTTAATATCGTGGTCATGCGGTACGTTAACCGTGTTGTTTTGGTGTCATTGATACGTCAAGTGAGAAGTGTAAAGGGATGCGATCAGAGACAAATTTGTGTAATATGGACGCAGCTGTTGCAACAGCGGTTTTAGGAGGCTGTGCAGTCGGGAAATGTTTCTTGTGCGGGATCTTCCTACAAGGCAAACGAGCGACTTACGGAGTAGGCATGTAGAAAATCTTACCCCGTCGAATAAGGGATGATGGAATATGGTAGGGAAGAGGGTGCGATCCGGGATCAGAAATGGGATACACATGTCCTCGACACTTGTATTAAAACCATACGACATCAGTTCACCCCGTTGTTCGATTGCGTATAAGAAGTGGATTCTATCACTCGCCACGGAAGAGTGGGGATCGAATACTCAAAGTTAACAGGAGAAAAAAAATAATAAGTATCGAATAATGTCTTATAGTTTCGAATGAAAAAAACAGTGTTATTATTTTTATACTAACAGGCAGCTATTATACAGACTGAAACAACTTAACACAATAATGTTTATAGTATTATGATAAACGGTCAAAGACACCAGTATACACGAATATGTAATGATAATAGATACAAAAGTTGTGCACGTATATATATATACAGATAAAGTAAATAAGTACAGTAAATAGGTCATTGTTTAGATCAGTAATTAATGAATTATTGAAATTTTAAAACTGCGAGTGAAAATTTATAACTATTAGTAGATTGGTATTTTTATCTGTCGTATACCTTCAAAACAACGTAAATGTAATAAAATGCGTAACTCGATGCGAATATATATGGGCTATATATATATATATATATGGATAAAAATAATATCTATAAATATCAGTCATTGGCCGGTTTTTGTGTGTTATAATACCCCACGTTAAAAATATCAATATTCTCATTACTCTACACATTTAATACGTAGTTACATATTACTCTGAGAGTTCTGGTCTACTGTTTGACTACGACATTATGATAAACAATTCCGGAAAGTTCATTCAATAACTATTTGTAAAAAAATGATGGACCTACTTAAAAAGCAAAAGTTGATATTGCCCTAAGTACCGCATAAGAAGGTACACAAAATGTATGTATTGGAGAGTATAATTTATTAGTAATAATTAATTTTTTATAAATTCGAAATATTGCACATTTTAATGGTAAAAATAAGTGTTTATATATATATATATATATAACTTAATGAATTGCCCCATATAAATTATTATAGAAATAAATTACAAATAATTTTAAGAAAAGAAGAAAAAACGAATTTCAGTCAAATGGTATGTAAGGGTAGGGAGGGATGAATGTAGGGTTTCATCCCCTTTAAACCCATTTAGTGGCCAAATCCGGGTTATCCGACTACATTGATCGCTGAGCACAGTTTTTCCATATTATTTGGAATCTGGATTGCAGGTGAAATCGGTATCCAAATAGCGGCAGCGATATTCAATAAAATATTTCATAACGTGTTATGAAACATTGATAGTTTTTTTTTTTTGATAGCACCCAGGTGAAAATCAAATTCATTTTTATTTTAGTGTTTTCCTTTGCTTCGAACGAAATCGATCTGATGTAAACATAAATATCGACTATATATAAATTCCAAGAAGAGACACCATATGTATTAAGGTGTCCTCATTGATCAAATAAAAATTTTATAAATAATAAAATAATAAAAATAAAATAAAAATTAGTAAATTATTAATACTTAATAGTCAATGTTTAAATAAATTGAAATATATAGAAACATAGAATAAAATAAATAAATCGATTTTAAAAATAATATCTGGTACTCGTATTAATACATTTTAGGTAATAATAAATAATAATAACCTAAATATATTTCTTAACAAATCCAAGTTTAATAAGAACTCATTTTAAATAACATTTCCTGTTAAAATAAATTATCTATACGATAAACCGCTTGTACATTTTAAATATAATAATACTCTAGGCTAGGAGTTTCTTTATTTCTATGTATCAACTATTTATAAGTTTATTTTATAAATGTTAAAACTGTGTAAAAAATAAACGTTTCCTTGTAATAATACATTTAAATTTATTACACTTGGTACGAAATGCATATGGGGATAATGTTTTCGTTTTGAGTCATGATTTACATATACTACGAAAAATTCTAAATTCGTGGTGAATTTAAATACTTCGAAAACATTTTCAACTAAGATGCGACCAAAAACTAATTAGTTAGTAAAATTTACGGCTGCAGACGAATCTTGTTACGTGGAATTATGTACAATAACGTAAACGTGTGTTGGATAATGAATTTACAAGACTGAGATCGTATATCAAATAAATAATTAACTTATGGTATTTAACTAAAACAATATTCAAAGTAATAATTTATAACAAACAGTTATTATTTGTAAAAATTGTAATTTTTATAACCCAGAATTATTATTGAAGCAAACGGGTGAATGTTTTCCCGATTTTTCTGAATTATGAAAGTTAATGAAATAATTACAATAGGGTT